CCCTCACTCAGTTACAACAGTGCAACTAATGTTACATTGCTGTTAGAGTTCCAGCCAAATGACAGAGCATCGGCCTCACAGGTTAATTGGGTTATTGGGCTGCTCCACTCTGGAACCGGAAGAGGGGTTTTGTCGGAGGCCGGCGCATCTACATTGCAGAGGAGGACGGGTGGCAATTGAACTGCGATGAACCGTGGACCGGCCCGCCTGCTACCAAGATGCCGTTCGGGATAAATCAGTGCGGTTTTTGTTTTTCAGGAGGCACGCACCATGCGTGAGATACGACACATGTTAAACTCAGAATTATGTTCCATTTATTTAGTTGGTGTGAGTTCTCCCTTTGTTGGATGCTGTTACCAATTTTGGGTGAGAAAAGTCTCTATGTTTTCTCTCCCTGCGTCACCCGTACCCTGGTCCTTCACAAGCAGCAGGAAGAGGTTCTACTAGCAACACAACTACTTTAAACCCTTGTAAGCCCCAACGGGGGGAAAACGTGCCACCAAACTCAAGTAAATGAACACCGTTTGCAATGAGGCAGGTGTTCCTTCGCCAGCAGCCAGTTGAAGGCAGCGTGGGTGGATCAGGAGGGAGGAGGATGGCTGCTAGAATAACCGCTTTGTGCTTCTTTTAAGCGTTTTAATCTGAATGGTGTTTCAGCAGCTTCAACCTGTGATGCTTGTGTGCTCACAATTAGAACTCCTAAAGCAATTACTGCACACGGAACCCGGAGGTTCACACTAAATAGAGTAAACTGAGCCTGAGGGGAAGCTCATTTCCATACAGAGGTATTTACCCAAAATGCATAGTGTTGAGATTAAAGTTCTGAAACTCAAACGCTTGAAGACCATGCTATTGAATCCCAATGCACAGGTGGTGGTAAATCGATGAACCGAGCCTCAAGCTTTGCTTTTCAACAACACACAACAGCAACAGAGCAGCGATTCCTCACAACACACAGCGGATTAGTCGCGCGGCCAGCAGCCAGGGACACCGTGCTGTGGGTCTGCAGTGGTCTGCAGTGGTCTGCAGTGGGGCAGTACAGGCCGTACCGCTGGTTTCCAGCTTCAATAAGAAGCCTTTTACACACTTTCAGCTGGATCCCCTGTCGAGGCCCAACTCCCATGACATGACTGCGTAAACACACACTGACGCATATGCTGGTGCACACAATGTTACCCTGATAATGGTACAAATAGCTCAAGCATGCCTGCAGCCAGATCAATGGCAGACCTTTACTTCAAAACGATGTGTGTATCAACACATATGCTAAAGTCTTGACAGTGTGTTAAGTCAGACGGAGACACCTTGAGCAATCCATTCTTCCCCAGTAATCCATCACAGAATAGAAATGGAATACATTGATTGCTTTATATTTGTGTAGAAGGTTAGGTCACAATTTCTCTTCCTGATATTATTTGCTGCGCTGTCACAAAGTCAAGCATATGGCTTTATATATTCCATTTCCCCATTCCACTGGACAAATTCCTATTCAGAAAAAGGTGTATTATCTTGTAATTCATTTTAAGCTCATCCCTGTGATGGGCTCCTCTGCCGCGTCTCCTTTTATCTCTTTCTTACCACTTTGCGTCAATATTTGTGTGATGCCAGCATGCAAACAACGTTCAGGGACTTTCGGGTGCTCGTGCTGGATACCTTCATGGTGACAGTTGCAGGTACAGTTTTTCTATTGTGCATCTTTTGGTCTGGCAGAGACAGTAATTAACCAACTGATGTAGTTTCATTATACTACATCAATACATTGTGCAATTAACATTTCTTTCACAACGCTGAGTAAAAGCGGTGAAGGTGATATTACACGGTCAGCCTGTTTCGGCGTCCTCGGCCTGACCGGGTCAGAATGTTCTCTAACAGAAGCTGTTGGGTAGTCTTCTCCCACATGAATGGGAAACATGAGACGGAAAGACGCCTAACCTCCAGTTCAACGCGTTATTTCCAGGTTGGGTTTCAACAAACCCTCATGTGCTGTTCCCATTCTTTAAATTGCCAATTAGTCACTGTACTCATCAGCAGCTCATTCTCATTAATGGGCTGTGATATTGTGTTGAAATGTAGAAATCGGAGAGTTCCTTTGATTTGCTGTGGGACTTTTCTAAATGAATCGTTTGTTTAATCATAAACAGACTGGACCTCTGCAGTCCTTGATCGAGGACGTAAGGGGACGAGTGTGGGACGTTGGCACTGGAGCCTTTTTCAAACTTGCATCCAGCTGGACGGCTCGTTATGCAGAGACGGAATAACAGCCGGCGATTTGATTCTCCGCGTGGAAGAGAAAGCGTGTTTGATGCTTTCAGTCATTTCTTTTTTCAACCAAATCTTTCAAACTAGTTTGGAAGACGAAATCATTTTGATCCGAGGAGTTGGTGTATGACACCTCTGCTTCAGGCCATCTTTTTGCTTCTTATATATTAATGTGAATATTTTCTCTTTGTCAGGTCAAAGTTGTGTATGTAATGTATCTCATTAGATTTGGGGGAAACTGAGATGTGAAGGTGAGGACATCACACCATGTGTCTTAAAGCAGCGTTTTGACCTTTCATGGGGTGTGTGAATGTGATGGATCCTCTATGTACACAACATCTAATGGTCCACGGTCTACAGAGAAACATCTCAACGACTGACCCGTGAGAGTCCTCTTAACGTACGTGACCAAAATCACTGACTCATATAGTGGGGTGGCTCAGTAATGGGGTCAATTAAGCCGGGTCTGTATGAAAGTGAAAA